ATAGTAATATGTTGAACTGGACCATCTAACGATTAACCATAGTAATATGTTGAACTGGACCATCCAACAGTATACCATAGTAATATGTTGAACTGGACCATCCAACAGTATACCATAGTAATATGTTGAACTGGACCATCCAACAGTATACCATAGTAATATGTTGAACTGGACCATCTAACAGTATACCATAGTAATATGTTGAACTGGACCATCCAACAGTATATAGCTCTGGACTGCTAAGGTAAGCTCCTATTGACCTCAACACCCACACACAGACCCCCCCCCTCCCCCACCCACCACCCAAGACCCCCCCCTTCCCACATAACCCCCCCCACCACCCACCACCCCCATACGTAGTCGCCCCCCCCCCACCCCATAACGTAGTCGGGCCCCCCCCCACCCCACCCACCCCCATACGTAGTCCGCCCCCCCAACCCCACCCACCCCCATAGCGTAGTCGGCCCCCACCCACCCCCACCCCCACCCCCATACGTAGTCGGCCCCACCCGCCCCACCCTACCTGCCATACGTAGTCAGCCCCCCCCCCCACCCCCAGACGTAGTCGGCCCCCACCGCCCCCCCCCCCCACCCCCATACGTAGTCGGCCCCCCACCGCCCACACACTACACCCACTACACCCCACACACTCACACACACACACACCCCCCCCCACCCCACCCCTACCTGCCTACGTAGTCAGCCCCCCCCCCCACCCCCATACGTAGTCGGCCACACCCCGCCACCCCCCCCCCCACCCCACCCCTACCTGCATACGTAGTCGGCCATACAGATGCTCAGTGCAGCCAGACAGTTGGGTTTGTCTTGTCTTCGTAGGAGCAGGCTGGTATGATGGTCTGTCCTCCGTCTCTCAGCACACGCCATGTCTGGACAGGGTTAGACTGGGTTAGGGTTACACACACTACACACTACACCCACACACCCACACACACTCACACACACCCACACACTACACCCCACACACACACACTACACACACATACACACACCCACACCTACCAACCCACACACTACACCCACACACAGTACACCCCCCCCCCCCCCCCCCCCTACCTGTGCAGGGGCAGAACAGCAGCCCCCCCCCCCTACCTGTACAGGGGCAGAAACAGCAGCCCCCCCCCCCCTACCTGTACAGGGGCAGAACAGCAGCCCCCCCCCCCCCCCTACCTGTACAGGGGCAGAACAGCAGCCCCCTCCCCCCCCCCCCTACCTGTACAGGGGCAGAACAGCAGCCCCCCCCCCCCCCCCCCCCCCCCCCCCTACCTGTACAGGGGCAGAACAGCAGCTCGTGGGGTGTAGTCAGGAGGGACCCGGTCGAAGAACTTCCTGAGAGCCCTGTTACACCTGGGCCTGTTACAGGGGCCTGAGCGGGCCGACGGCTGGATGCAGGCCGAAACATACTCTGTACGGAGCTTCTGACACGTCTCGTCCACGTTACACGCCTTCGCTGCATCTAGGCAACGGTTCAACGTCGTTTTGCCGACCTCATCTATTGGAAACAAAACAAGGAGTAGATGTAATTTGGAACGCAACCTCTGTGCTTAATCCTCTGTCATTTGAGGCATATTCAATTTCACCCAATGATTAATACGACTATTTGGAGTCTGTCGTGACAAGCCTCCTGCGTCTGCAAATGAAATTACAATGATTAATTCTATGTACAATTAAAAGTAATCTAAAATGTGTCTTATCTGCAGTAGGTATGTATTGAATATAACATGAATCAGGTGTTGGATGTGTCTGTTCCGTCGGGACACTGTCTGGGTTTAATTAGCCCTCATCGTTTAAAATCACATTTTGGAGGGTTAATGCAGAGCTGAGTGTGTGTGTGTGTGTGTGTGTGTGTGTGTGTGTGTTTATTGAGGGTGAATGAAGAACAGAGAGACAGCTCCACCATTCTGCCCCTTCACAACACCACTCTTAATTCCAAATGAAGTCTTAGCTTCCTGACTAACCCATCTGTGATTCCTGACTAACCCATCTGTGATTCCTGACTAACCCATCTGTGATTCCTGACTAACACATCTAATGCTGTGTAAACAACAGGTGTAGGCTAACAGTGAAATGCTGACTGACGGGCCCTTATCAATAATGCAGAGAGAAAGACAATAGAGAAGTAAAACATGTAATAATAAAAGTAATAATAAATACACAATGAGTAACGATAACTTGGCTACAGTGAGGGAAAAATGTATTTGATCCCCTGCTGATTTTGTACGTTTGCCCACTGACAAAGAAATGAGCAGTCTATAATTTTAATGTTAGGTTTATTTGAACAGTGAGAGACAGAATAACAACAAATATATCCAGAAAAACACATGTCAAAAATGTTATAAATTGATTTGCATTTTTAATGAGGGAAATAAGTATTTGACCCCCTCTCAATCAGAAAGATTTCTGGCTCCCAGGTGTCTTTTATACAGGTAACGAGCTGAGATTAGGAGCACACTCTTAAAGGGAGTGCTCCTAATCTCAGTTTGTTACCTGTATAAAAGACACCTGTCCACAGAAGCAATCAATCAATCAGATACCAAACACTCCACCATGGCCAAGACCAAAGAGCTCTCCAAGGATGTCAGGGACAGATTGTAGACCTACACAAGGCTGGAATGGGCTACAAGACCATCGCCAAGCAGCTTGGTGAGAAGGTGACAACAGTTGGTGCGATTATTCGCAAATGGAAGAAACACAAAATAACTGTCAATCTCTCTCGGCCTGGGGCTCCATGCAAGATCTGAGATGATCTTGAGTGATCATGAGAACAGTGAGGAATCAGCCCAGAACTACACGGGAGGATCTTGTCAATGATCTCAAGGCAGCTGGGACCATAGTCACCAAGAAAACAATTGGTAACACACTACTCTGTGAAGGACTGAAATCCTGCAGCGCTTGCAAGGTCCCCCTGCTCAAGAAAGCACATATACATGCCCGTCTGAAGTTTGCCAATGAACATCTGAATGATTCAGAAGAGAACTGGGTGAAAGTGTTGTGGTCAGATGAGACCAAAATTGAGCTCTTTGGCATCAACTCAACTCGCCGTGTTTGGAGGAGGAGGAATGCTGCCTATGACCCCAAGAACACCATCCCCACCGTCAAACATGGAGGTGGAAACATTATGCTTTGGGGGTGTTTTTCTGCTAAGGGGACAGGACAACTTCACTGCATCAAAGGGACAATGGACGGGGTCATGTACTGTCAAATCTTGGGTGAGAACCTCCTTCCCTCAGCCAGGGCATTGAAAATGGGTCGTGGATGGGTATTCCAGCATGACAATGACCCAAAACACACAGCCAAGGCAACAAAGGAGTGGCTCAAGAAGAAGCACATTAAGGTCCTGGAGTGGCCTAGCCAGTCTCCAGACCTTAATCCCATATAAAATCTGTGGAGGGAGCTGAATGTTCGAGTTGCCAATCGTCAGCCTCGAAACCTTAATGACTTGGAGAAGATCTGCAAAGAGGAGTGGGACAAAATCCCTCCTGAGATGTGTGCAAACCTGGTGGCCAACTACAAGAAACGTCTGACCTCTGTGATTGCCAACAAGGGTTCTGCCACCAAGTACTAAGTCATGTTTTGCAGAGGGGTCAAATACTTATTTCCCTCATTAAAAAGCAAATCAATTTATAATATTATTGACATGCGTTTTTCTGGATTTTTTTGTTGTTATTCTGTCTCTCACTGTTCAAATAAACCTACCATTAAAATTATAGACTGATCATGTCTTTGTCAGTGGGCAAACGTACAAAATCAGCAGGGGATCAAATGCTTTTTTCCCTCACTGTAGGCTGAGATTATTACATATAAAAGCACTAAACCTCTCTCTAAAAGCTTCACTTATCCCAAAATGTTACTTAAACCCTAAATGGTTCTCAAGTAGATTACTAAGAAAAGCTCATCCATTGTTTAAAAATGGCCTTTTTGCCTTTGTGCAGATTGCCATGTCTCATTTTCCATTAATTGAAAATGAAACTTTTAAAAAGGTATCTCTCTTTTTCAAACAAGCATTGCAGAGCTGGCTATAATGTCAATGTCATCTCCCTGAAAAGATAGAACAAATATTACAACAAATATTATGGCTGAACTCAAATGTGCTGGTTGATAAAATACCTGTATTTATGGGAAAGATGTTGGAAAAGGGTATTTTGTTTTTAAATGATATTGTAAATTGGAATGGTAGAGTTATGCCTTTCATGGAGTTATCAGAATTGTATGGGAAGGTCTGCTCAATCCAAGATTACAACCAATTGATTACAGCATTACCCCAAAAATGGAGGAGGCAGGTGGCAGCGGGAGGAGGTAGGGAACTGGTCTGTCTGCCCAGTATAAAGGATCAAGGGAGGAGGCAGGGAACTGGTCTGTCTGCCCAATATAAAGGATCAAGGGAGGAGGTAGGGAACTGGTCTGTCTGCCCAATATAAAGGATCAAGGGAGGAGGTAGGGAACTGGTCTGTCTGCCCAATATAAAGGATCAAGGGAGGAGGTAGGGAACTGGTCTGTCTGCCCAGTATAAAGGATCAAGGGAGGAGGTAGGGAACTGGTCTGTCTGCCCAATATAAAGGATCAAGGGAGGAGGCAGGGAACTGGTCTGTCTGCCCAATATAAAGGATCAAGGGAGGAGGTAGGGAACTGGTCTGTCTGCCCAATATAAAGGATCAAGGGAGGAGGTAGGGAACTGGTCTGTCTGCCCAATATAAAGGATCAAGGGAGGAGGTAGGGAACTGGTCTGTCTGCCCAGTATAAAGGATCAAGGGAGGAGGTAGGGAACTGGTCTGTCTGCCCAATATAAAGGATCAAGGGAGGAGGCAGGGAACTGGTCTGTCTGCCCAATATAAAGGATCAAGGGAGGAGGTATGTGATGTGATGGGAGTCTGTTGGATGACTAATGTGATGGGAGTCTGTTGGATGACTAATGTGATGGGAGTCTGTTAGATGACTAATGTGATGGGAGTCTGTTGGATGACTAATGTGATGGGAGTCTGTTAGATGACTAATGTGATGGGAGTCTGTTGGATGACTAATGTGATGGGAGTCTGTTGGATGACTAATGTGATGGGAGTCTGTTGGATGACTAATGTGATGGGAGTCTGTTGGATGACTAATGTGATGGGAGTCTGTTTGGATGACTAATGTGATGGGAGGTCTGTTAGATGACTAATGTGATGGGAGTCTGTTAGATGACTAATGTGATGGGAGTCTGGTTGGATGACTAATATGATGGGAGTCTGTTAGATGACAATGTGATGGGAGTCTGTTGGATGACTAATGTGATGGGAGTCTGCTGGATGACTAATGTGATGGGAGTCTGTTGGATGACTAATGTGATGGGAGTCTGTTGGATGACTAATGTGATGGGAGTCTGTTGGATGACTAATGTGGATGGGAGTCTGTTTGGATGACTAATGTATGGGAGTCTGTTGGATGACTAATGTGATGGGAGTCTGTTTGGATGACTAATGTGATGGAGTCTGTTGGATGACTAATGTGATGGGAGTCTGTTGGATGACTATGTGATGGGAGTCTGTTGGATGACTAATGTGATGGGAGTCTGTTAGTGACTAATGTGATGGGAGTCTGTTGGATGACTAATGTGATGGGAGTCTGTTGGATGACTAATGTGATGGGAGTCTGTTGGATGACTAATGTGATGGGAGTCTGCTAGATGACTAATGTGATGGGAGTCTGTTGGATGACTAATGTGATGGGAGTCTGTTGGATGACTAATGTGATGGGAGTCTGTTGGATGACTAATGTGAAGGGAGTCTGTTAGATGACTAATGTGATGGGAGTCTGTTGGATGACTAATGTGATGGGAGTCTGTTGGATGACTAATGTGATGGGAGTCTGTTGGATGACTAATGTGATGGGAGTCTGTTAGATGACTAATGTGATGGGAGTCTGTTAGATGACTAATGTGATGGGAGTCTGTTAGATGACTAATGTGATGGGAGTCTGTTGGATGACTAATGTGATGGGAGTCTGTTAGATTACTAATGTGATGGGAGTCTGTTAGATGACTAATGTGATGGGAGTCTGTTGGATGACTAATGTGATGGGAGTCTGTTGGATGACTAATGTGATGGTAGTCTGTTGGATGACTAATGTGATGGTAGTCTGTTAGATGACTAATGTGATGGGAGTCTGTTAGATGACTAATGTGATGGGAGTCTGTTAGATGACTAATGTGATGGGAGTCTGTTGGATGACTAATGTGATGGGAGTCTGTTGGATGACTAATGTGATGGGAGTCTGTTGGATGACTAATGTGATGGGAGTCTGTTGGGTGACTAATGTGATGGGAGTCTGTTGGATGACTAATGTGATGAGAGTCTGTTGGATGACTAATGTGATGGGAGTCTGTTGGATGACTAATGTGATGGGAGTCTGTTGGATGACTAATGTGATGGGAGTCTGTTGGATGACTAATGTGATGGGAGTCTGTTGGATGACTAATGTGATGGGAGTCTGTTGGATGACTAATGCGATGGGAGTCTGTTGGATGACTAATGCGATGGGAGTCTATTAGATGACTAATGTGATGGGAGTCTGTTGGATGACTAATGTGATGGGAGTCTGTTGGATGACTAATGTGATGGGAGTCTGTTGGATGACTAATGTGATGGGAGTCTGTTAGATGACTAATGTGATGTTAGATGACTAATGTGATGGGGGTCTGTTAGATGACTAATGTGATGGGAGTCTGTTGGATGACTAATGTGATGGGAGTCTGTTGGATGACTAATGTGATGGGAGTCTGTTGGATGACTAATGTGATGGGAGTCTGTTGGATGACTAATGTGATGGGAGTCTGTTGGATGACTAATGTGATGGGAGTCTGTTGGATGACTAATGTGATGGGAGTCTGTTGGATGACTAATGTGATGGGAGTCTGTTGGATGACTAATGTGATGGGAGTCTGTTGGATGACTAATGTTATGGGAGTCTGTTGGATGACTAATGTGATGGGAGTCTGTTGGATGACTAATGTGATGGGAGTCTGTTGGATGACTAATGTGATGAGAGTCTGTTGGATGACTAATGTGATGGGAGTCTGTTGGATGACTAATGTAATGGGAGTCTGTTGGATGACTAATGTGATGGGAGTCAGTTGGATGACTAATGTGATGGGAGTCTGTTGGATGACTAATGTGATGGGAGTTTGTTGGATGACTAATGTGATGGGAGTCTGTTGGATGACTAATGTGATGGGAGTCTGTTGGATGACTAATGTGATGGGAGTCTGTTGGATGACTAATGTGATGGGAGTCTGTTGGATGACTAATGTGATGGGAGTCTGTTGGATGACTAATGTGATGGGAGTCTGTTAGATGACTAATGTGATGGGAGTCTATTAGATGACTAATGTGATGGGAGTCTGTTGGATGACTAATGTGATGGGAGTCTGTTAGATAACTAATGTGATGGGAGTCTGTTAGATGACTAATGTGATGGGAGTCTATTGGATGACTAATGTGATGGGAGTCTATTGGATGACTAATGTGATGGGAGTCTGTTGGATGACTAATGTGATGGGAGTCTGTTGGATGACTAATGTGATGGGAGTCTGTTGGATGACTAATGTGATGGGAGTCTGTTGGATGACTAATGTGATGGGAGTCTGTTGGATGACTAATGTGATGGGAGTCTGTTGGATGACTAATGTGATGGGAGTCTGTTAGATGACTAATGTGATGGGAGTCTGTTGGATGACTAATGTGATGGGAGTCTGTTGGATGACTAATGTGATGGGAGTCTGTTGGATGACTAATGTGATGGGAGTCTGTTAGATGGACTAATGTGATGGGAGTATGTTGGATGACTAATGTGATGGGAGTCTGTTGGATGACTAATGTGATGGGAGTCTATTGGATGACTAATGTGATGGGAGTCTGTTGGATGACTAATGTGATGGGAGTCTGTTGGATGACTAATGTGATGGGAGTCTGTTGGATGACTAATGTGATGGGAGTCTGTTAGATGACTAATGTGATGGGAGTCTGTTGGATGACTAATGTGATGGGAGTCTGTTGAATGACTAATGTGATGGGAGTCTGTTGGATGACTAATGTGATGGGAGTCTGTTAGATGACTAATGTGATGTTAGATGACTAATGTGATGGGAGTCTGTTAGATGACTAATGTGATGGGAGTCTGTTAGATGACTAATGTGATGGGAGTCTGTTGGATGACTAATGTGAAGAGAGTCTGTTGGATGACTAATGTGATGGGAGTCTGTTAGATGACTAATGTGATGGGAGTCTGTTGGATGACTAATGTGATGGGAGTCTGTTAGATGACTAATGTGATGGGAGTCTGTTAGATGACTAATGTGATGGGAGTCTGTTGGATGACTAATGTGATGGGAGTCTGTTGGATGACTAATGTGATGGGAGTCTGTTGGATGACTAATGTGATGGGAGTCTGTTGGATGACTAATGTGATGGGAGTCTGTTAGATGACTAATGTGATGGGAGTCTGTTGGATGACTAATGTGATGGGAGTATGTTGGATGACTAATGTGATGGGAGTCTGTTGGATGACTAATGTGATGGAGTCTGTTAGATGACTAATGTGATGGGAGTCTGTTAGATAACTAATGTGATGGGAGTCTGTTGGATGACTAATGTGATGGGAGTCTGTTGGATGACTAATGTGATGGGAGTCTGTTAGATGACTAATGTGATGGGAGTCTGTTAGATGACTAATGTGATGGGAGTCTGTTGGATGACTAATGTGATGGGAGTCTGTTAGATGACTAATGTGATGGGAGTCTGTTGGATGACTAATGTGATGGGAGTCTATTGGATGACTAATGTGAAATGAGTCTGTTGGATGACTAATGTGATGGGAGTCTGTTGGATGACTAATGTGATGGGAGTCTGTTAGATGACTAATGTGATGGGAGTCTGTTGGATGACTAATGTGATGGGAGTCTGTTGGATTACTAATGTGATGGGAGTCTGTTAGATGACTAATGTGATGGGAGTCTGTTGGATGACTAATGTGATGGGAGTCTGTTAGATGACTAATGTGATGGGAGTCTATTAGATGACTAATGTGATGGGAGTCTGTTGGATGACTAATGTGATGGGAGTCTATTGGATGACTAATGTGATGGGAGTCTGTTGGATGACTAATGTGATGGGAGTCTGTTGGATGACTAATGTGATGGGAGTCTGTTAGATGACTAATGTGATGAGAGTCTGTTGGATGACTAATGTGATGGGGGTCTGTTAGATAACTAATGTGATGGGAGTCTGTTGGATGACTAATGTGATGGGAGTCTGTTGGATAACTAATGTGATGGGAGTCTGTTAGATGACTAATGTGATGGGAGTCTATTAGATGACTAATGTGATGGGAGTCTGTTGGATGACTAATGTGATGGGAGTCTGTTAGATGACTAATGTAAATGTTGAGCGGCTTCACTGCAAGTAGATTGTATGTTTTAAATATAAAAAATAAATAAATAGACAGCCCCCTCCAACACCCAGAGAAATTGTTGTTGATAGACAGCCCCCCCAACACCTAGAGAAATTGTTGTTGATAGACAGCCCCCGTCCTCTAAAACCCAGATACAGGTTGTTTTAATAGACAGCCCCCGTCCTCTAAAACCCAGATACAGGTTGTTTTAATAGACAGCCCCCCCTCTAAAACCCAGATACAGGTTGTTTTAATAGACAGCCCCCCCTCTAAAACCCAGATACAGGTTGTTTTAATAGACAGCCCCCCCTCTAAAACCCAGAAACATGATGTTGTATTAATAGACAGCCCCCATCCTCTAAAACCCAGATACAGGTTGTTTTAATAGACAGCCCCCCCTCTAAAACCCAGAAACATGATGTTGTTTTAACAGACAGCCCCCGTCCTCTAAAACCCAGATACAGGTTGTTTTAATAGACAGCCCCCCCCTCTAAAACCCAGATACAGGTTGTTTTAATAGACAGCCCCCCTCTAAAACCCAGATACAGGTTGTTTTAATAGACAGCCCCCCCCTCTAAAACCCAGATACAGGTTGTTTTAATAGACAGCCCCCCTCTAAAACCCCAGATACAGGTTGTTTTAATAGACAGCCCCCCCCTCTAAAACCCAGATACAGGTTGTTTTAATAGACAGCCCCCCCTCTAAAACCCAGATACAGGTTGTTTTAATAGACAGCCCCCCCTCTAAAACCCAGAAACATGATGTTGTATTAATAGACAGCCCCCCTCTAAAACCCAGATACAGGTTGTTTTAATAGACAGCCCCCCCTCTAAAACCCAGATACAGGTTGTTTTAATAGACAGCCCCCCCTCTAAAACCCAGATACAGGTTGTTTTAATAGACAGCCCCCCCCTCTAAAACCCAGATACAGGTTGTTTTAATAGACAGCCCCCCCTCTAAAACCCAGAAACATGATGTTGTATTAATAGACAGCCCCCCTCTAAAACCCAGATACAGGTTGTTTTAATAGACAGCCCCCCCCCTCTAAAACCCAGATACAGGTTGTTTTAATAGACAGCCCCCCCCCCTCTAAAACCCAGATACAGGTTGTTTTAATAGACAGCCCCCCCTCTAAAACCCAGATACAGGTTGTTTTAATAGACAGCCCCCCCCTCTAGGGGGCAGGTATCTCAGGGTAGACACTCACCTGCAGCCATGTAGGCCAGGTGTACGTAGTCGAAGCCCCTCTCCTCTGGTTCGTATGGGTAACTCTCCACCAGACTCTGTCCTGCACACAGACACACGTGAACGTTTTCAGGAATCACCCAATAAATGTTTAATAATTTAAGTGAAGTACCTTGCAAAAGTATTCACCCCCCTTGGCGTTTTCCCTATATTGTTGCATTACAACCTGTCATTTAAATTGATTTTTATTTGGATTTCATGTAATGGACATACACAAAATAGTCCAAATTGGTGAAGTGAAATGAAAAAAATTACTTGTTTCAAAAAATTCTAAAAAATAAAGAACTGAAAAGTGGTGCGTGCATATCTATTCACCCCCTTCGCTATTTACATTTACATTTACATTTTAGTCATTTAGCAGACTAAAATGAAGCCCCTAAATAAGATCTGGTGCAACCAATTACCTTCAGAAGTCACATAATTAGTTAAATAAAGTCCACCTGTGTGCAATCTAAGTATCACATGATCTCAGTATATATACACCTGTTCTGAAAGGCCCCAGAGTCTGCAACACCACTAAGCAAGGGGCACCACCAAGCAAGTGGCACCATGAAGACCAAGGAGCTCTCCAGACAGGTCAGGGACAAAGTTGTGGAGAAGTACAGATCAGGGTTGGGTTATTAAAAAATATCCCAAACTTTGAACATTCCACGGAGCACCATTAAATCCATCATTTAAAAATAATGGAAAGAATATGGCACCACAACAAACCTGTCAAGAGAGAGCCGCCCACCAAAACTCATGGACCAGGCAAGGAGGGCATGAATCAGAGAGGCAACAAAGAGACCAAAGATAACCCTGTCTCTAACCCTAACCTCTATATGCCCCTCTCTTTATCCACTGCCCCTAACCTCTATTTGTCCCTCTTTTTATCCACTGTCCCTAACCCTAACCTCTATATGTCCCTCTTCTAGCCCCCCCCCCCCAGCAGGGCTGGGTGTTATAGTCTCACCATGCAGGACAGACTGGTGCTATAGATTAGGGTTAGGGTTACAGACTGGTACTATAGATTAGGGCTGGGTGTTATAGTCTCACCATGCAGGACAGACTGGTACTATAGATTAGGGCTGGGTGTTATAGTCTCACCATGCAGGACAGACTGGTGCTATAGATTAGGGTTAGGGTTACAGACTGGTACTATAGATTAGGGCTGGGTGTTATAGTCTCACCATGCAGGACAGACTGGTACTATAGATTAGGGTTAGGGTTACAGACTGGTACTATAGATTAGGGCTGGGTGTTATAGTCTCACCATGCAGGACAGACTGGTGCTATAGATTAGGGTTAGGGTTACAGACTGGTACTATAGATTAGGGCTGGGTGTTATAGTCTCACCATGCAGGACAGACTGGTGCTATAGATTAGGGTTAGGGTTACAGACTGGTACTATAGATTAGGGTTAGGGTTACAGACTGGTACTATAGATTAGGGCTGGGTGTTATAGTCTCACCATGCAGGACAGACTGGTACTATAGATTAGGGTTAGGGTTACAGACTGGTACTATAGATTAGGGTTAGGGTTACAGACTGGTACTATAGATTAGGGTTAGGGTTACAGACTGGTACTATAGATTAGGGCTGGGTGTTATAGTCTCACCATGCAGGACAGACTGGTACTATAGATTAGGGCTGGGTGTTATAGTCTCACCATGCAGGACAGACTGGTACTATAGATTAGGGTTAGGGTTACAGACTGGTACTATAGATTAGGGCTGGGTGTTATAGTCTCACCATGCAGGACAGACTGGTACTATAGATTAGGGTTACAGACTGGTACTATAGATTAGGGTTAGGGTTACAGACTGGTACTATAGATTAGGGCTGGGTGTTATAGTCTCACCATGCAGGACAGACTGGTACTATAGATTAGGGTTAGGGTTACAGACTGGTACTATAGATTAGGGCTGGGTGTTATAGTCTCACCATGCAGGACAGACTGGTACTATAGATTAGGGCTGGGTGTTATAGTCTCACCATGCAGGACAGACTGGTGCTATAGATTAGGGTTAGGGTTACAGACTGGTACTATAGATTAGGGCTGGGTGTTATAGTCTCACCATGCAGGACAGACTGTGCAGGACAGACTGGTGCTATAGATTAGGGTTAGGGTTACAGACTGGTACTATAGATTAGGGCTGGGTGTTATAGTCTCACCATGCAGGACAGACTGGTGCTATAGATTAGGGTTAGGGTTACAGACTGGTACTATAGATTAGGGCTGGGTGTTATAGTCTCACCATGCAGGACAGACTGGTGCTATAGATTAGGGTTAGGGTTACAGACTGGTACTATAGATTAGGGCTGGGTGTTATAGTCTCACCATGCAGGACAGACTGGTACTATAGATTAGGGTTAGGGTTACAGACTGGTACTATAGATTAGGGTTAGGGTTACAGACTGGTACTATAGATTAGGGCTGGGTGTTATAGTCTCACCATGCAGGACAGACTGGTACTATAGATTAGGGTTAGGGTTACAGACTGGTACTATAGATTAGGGTTAGGGTTACAGACTGGTACTATAGATTAGGGTTAGGGTTACAGACTGGTACTATAGATTAGGGCTGGGTGTTATAGTCTCACCATGCAGGACAGACTGGTACTATAGATTAGGGCTGGGTGTTATAGTCTCACCATGCAGGACAGACTGGTGCTATAGATTAGGGCTGGGTGTTATAGTCTCACCATGCAGGACAGACTGGTACTATAGATTAGGGTTAGGGTTACAGACTGGTACTATAGATTAGGGCTGGGTGTTATAGTCTCACCATGCAGGACAGACTGGTCCTATAGATTAGGGTTAGGGTTACAGACTGGTACTATAGATTAGGGCTGGGTGTTATAGTCTCACCATGCAGGACAGACTGGTACTATAGATTAGGGTTAGGGTTACAGACTGGTACTATAGATTAGGGCTGGGTGTTATAGTCTCACCATGCAGGACAGACTGGTACTATAGATTAGGGTTAGGGTTACAGACTGGTACTATAGATTAGGGCTGGGTGTTATGGTCTCACCATGCAGGACAGACTGGTACTATAGATTAGGGCTGGGTGTTATAGTCTCACCATGCAGGACAGACTGGTACTATAGATTAGGGCTGGGTGTTATAGTCTCACCATGCAGGACAGACTGGTCCTATAGATTAGGGTTAGGGTTACAGACTGGTACTATAGATTAGGGTTAGGGTTACAGACTGGTACTATAGATTAGGGCTGGGTGTTATAGTCTCACCATGCAGGACAGACTGGTACTATAGATTAGGGCTGGGTGTTATAGTCTCACCATGCAGGACAGACTGGTACTATAGATTAGGGTTAGGGTTACAGACTGGTACTATAGATTAGGGTTAGGGTTACAGACTGGTACTATAGATTAGGGCTGGATGTTATAGTCTCACCATGCAGGACAGACTGGTGCAGGCTCCAATAAATACTGAGGCAGTTCTTCTCTCTCTTCATGCCTCGTTTACACTGGCAGCCGTGGAGCGGGGAGGAGAGCAGTGCCGTGACTGCGTTCTCACACTGGTTCCTGGCCCCAGGGCCCAGCTTCACACTGCCGTCCCCCGCCACACACTGTCTCAGCGTCCGCAGACGAGGGCTGCACGCATCATCACTGGAGCAGGTGTCACCAGCCTGTAGACAGTCTCTGTCCCTCCCTGCAGACACAGAGAGGGGGAGCCCTGGGGAAAAGAGAAACAGTAGGTCAGGGGTCAGGGGTTATGATTAGAGGTCAGGGGTTATGATTAGAGGTCAGGGGTTAGGGTTAGGACTAGTTGATGATATGTCATCTTTTAGATTACAGTATAACAGCAGGGGTCAGGAACAGGTCAGGAACAGGTCAGGAGCAGGACAGGAACAGGTCAGGAACAGGACAGGAACAGGTCAGGAACAGGTCAGGAACAGGACAGGAACATGTCAGGAGCAGGTCAGGAACAGGTCAGTATAAAAGTAGGGGTCAGGAACAGGTCAGGAACAGGACAGGAACAGGTCAAGGACAGGAACAGGTCAGGAACAGGTCAGGAACAGGTCAAGGACAGGAACAGGTCAGGAACAGGTCAGGAACAGGTCAGGAACAGGTCAGGAACAGGTCAGGAACAGGTCAGGAGCAGGACAGGAACAGGTCAGGAACAGGACAGGAACAGGTCAGGAACAGGACAGGAACAGGACAGGAACAGGTCAGGAACAGGACAGGAACAGGTCAGGAACAGGTCAGGAACAGGTCAGGAACAGGTCAGGAACAGGACAGGAACAGGTCAGGAACAGGTCAGGAGCAGGACAGGAACAGGTCAGGAACAGGACAGGAACAGGTCAGGAACAGGACAGGAACAGGACAGGAACAGGTCAGGAACAGGTCAGGAACAGGTCAGGAACAGGTCAGTATAAAAGCAGGGGTCAGGAACAGGTCAGGAACAGGACAGGAACAGGTCAGGAGCAGGACAGGAACAGGTCAGGAACAGGACAGGAACAGGACAGGAACAGGTCAGGAACAGGTCAGGAACAGGTCAGGAACAGGACAGTATAAAAGCAGGGGTCAGGAACAGGTCAGGAACAGGTCAGGAACAGGTCAGGAACAGGTCAGTATAAAAGCAGGGGTCAGGAACAGGTCAGGAACAGGTCAGTGTAACAGTAGGGGTCAGGAACAGGTCAGGAACAGGTCAGGAACAGGTCAGGAACAGGTCAGTATAAAAGCAGGGGTCAGGAACAGGTCAGGAACAGGTCAGTGTAACAGTAGGGGTCAGGAACAGGTCAGGAACAGGTCAGTGTAACAGCAGGGGTCAGGAACGGGTCAGTTAAACACAGAGCAGAGCAGAGTAAAACACCCCTTACACAGAGCACAGACAGACAGTTCAAAGAAACACAGTTAAAATAAATTATGAGAAATAATTTGCCTTGTCAATTATATTAGTTCCACCCTGCAGCGCTCTCTCTCTGTTAATCTAGCGGAGGTGAATAATTACATTTCATCCTGCATCTCTCTGACAGACAGACAGTCTGTAGATAGAGGTGAATGTCCAACAACCAGTTGTGTATATGTTTGTTTCCAGTAGTACTCTGTATAGACAGCTCTATGATGGCCATGTTTACTTCATTGCTTCCCACAGTTGTGTCAAGTTGGCTGGATGTCCTTTAGGTGGTGGACCATTCTTGATACACGGGAAACTGTTGAACATGAAAAACCCAGCAGCGTTACAGTTCTTGACACCAACCAGTGCACCTGGCACCTACTACCATACCCCGTTCAAAGACCCTACTACCATACCCCGTTCAAAGACCCTACTACCATACCCCCGTTCAAAGACCCTACTACCATACCCTGTTCAAAGACCCTACTACCATACCCCGTTCAAAGACCCTACTACCATACCCCGTTCAAAGACCCTACTACCATACCCCGTTCAAAGACCCTACTACCATACCCCGTTCAAAGACCCTACTACCATACCCCGTTCAAAGACCCTACTACCATACCCTGTTCAAAGACCCTACTACCATACCCTGTTCAAAGACCCTACTACCATACCCCGTTCAAAGACCCTACTACCATACCCCGTTCAAAGGCACTTACATTTTATGTCTTGCCCATTCAGCCTCTTTATTGGCACACACACACACACAATCCTTCTCAATTGTCTCAAGGCTTAAATATTATTCTTTAACCTGTCTCCTCCACACTGATTAAAGTGGATTTAACAAGTGACATAATTAAGGAATTATAGCTTTCAGATGGATTCACCTGGTCAGTCTGTCATGGAAATGCGGATCGAGGGAGAGCTCGGTTTGTTGTTTTGAAAAGTTTGCCGTTTTGAAAGTTGATTTGAAAGTTGCTTAGTAGCTAGCTAACTTTTTAGTATGGATCCCGCGACGCAGTTGGCAACAGTTGCTGAGACTGCTACTCTCTGTCCAGGGGATCCTGCCAACCAAGGCCGGATCTGTTCTGGGTTTGTGGCTGTCCAGATCCCTGCTGTGTGGCTGTCCATATCCCTGCTGTGTGGCTGTCCAGATCCCTGCTGTGTGGCTGTCCAGATCCCTGCTGTGTGGCTGTCTAGATCCCTGCTGTGTGGCTGTCCAGATCCCTGCTGTTTGGCTGTCTAGATCCCTGCTGTGTGGCTGTCCAGATCCCTGCTGTTTGGCTGTCTAGATCCATGCTGTGTGGCTGTCCAGATCCCTGCTGTTTGGCTGTCCAGATCCCTGCTGTTTGGCTGTCTAGATCCCTGCTGTGTGGCTGTCCAGATCCCTGCTGTTTGGCTGTCCAGATCCCTGCTGTTTGGCTGTCCAGATCCCTGCTGTGTGGCTGTCCAGATCCATGCTGTGTGGCTGTCCAGATCCCTGCTGTGTGGCTGTCCAGATCCCTGCTGTTTGGCTGTCCAGATCCCTGCTGTGTGGCTGTCCAGATCCCTGCTGTGTGGCTGTCCAGATCCCTGCTGTGTGGCTGTCCAGATCCCTGCTGTGTGGCTGTCCAGATCCCTGCTGTGTGGCTGTCCAGATCCCTGCTGTGTGGCTGTCCAGATCCCTGCTGTGTGGCTGTCCAGATCCCTGTGGTGTGGCTGTCCAGATCCCTGCTGTGTGGCTGTCCAGATCCCTGCTGTGTGGCTGTCCAGATCCCTGCTGTGTGGCTGTCCAGATCCCTGCTGTGTGGCTGTCCAGATCCCTGCTGTTTGTTGTTTTCCATCTTCCCTGTGACCTACCCTGTCTGGAACTGCGAGGAGTAACAGCATAACCTACATTGCTACCATGACAAAGACCAAAGCTGGCGGGAGAACCGTTGAGGACAGTGGTGTCTCTCTATCACACATGAAGGATCTTTTAAACGTTCTACAAACAGTTGTTACAACAACAAGAAAATAGCTTCAAGTGCTTTGTCCAAATACTGGTTGATTCGACTAATAAAATAATGGAGGACCCGACCAGAGAGGTCCAGGACCTGAAGAACAGTTTGCAGTTCTCCCAGGGTCAGCTCAATGAGTTGAAACAGGAGAACAGCAAGATGACAGCAATCTGTAAGTCATTGAGAGAGGAAATCAGTTCTGTTTGTGAATCCATGATAACAATGATGGATAAATCAGTCTCGATGGACAATCAAGCTGGAACAACATGGTTGTGGACGGAATTACAGAATCTCCACATGAGACCTGGATGGAGTCTGAGGACAAAGTGAGGGAAATGATCTCTGAGAAACTGAAGATGGACCACAGGAAGGTTCAGGTGGAGCGCCCCCACAGGACTGGAAAACCCACCACCGGCCCAGGTGACAGGTCCAGGCTGATAGTGGTTCAAGGACAGGGTAGCTGTTCTGGAAAGAGCTAAGAACTTGAGAGGAACGTATATCTTCCTCAACGAGGACTATCCTGAAGCCGTGCACCAGAAGAGGAAATAACTTATTCCAGCCATGAAAGCTGCCAGAGCGCGTGGGGACATTGCTTACATCCGCTATGACAGGCTCATTGTCCACCCTCCCTCCCAAAAGGGATGAGAGAGCCAAGCCGTCGGGAGTCCAGTAGAGATCTGACGGCATAGGCCGGGCCCCCCTCGATGTCCAGGGGGGATGGAGGGGTGTCGTGGGGGACAGCATCAGCCAGGGGACCAGGAACCACCGGCATGAGAAGGGAGACATGAAAAGAAGGTGAGATACGGTAGTCAATGGGAAGCTGTAAACTATACGTCACCTCGTTGACCCTCCGGAGAACCTTGAACGGTCCCATAAACCGGGGGCTCAGCTTCTGGCAGGGCAGGCGGAGTGGGAGGTTCGTGGTAGAAGGCCAGACACGATCCCCAGGGTGGTACACGGGGGTCTCTGCCTGCTCCTTTTGACGGTGGGCGGCGCGATGGAGTCTCACGTGAGCATCGCTCCACACTTCTTCTGCGCGCCTGAACCATTCATCAATCGCAGGACCCCCTGGAAGGGGGTCAACCCAGTGGAGGAGCGAGTTCTGGGTGTACTCCGCCCATGGAAGGAATCGAACCCACTACCCCTGCCGGTCCTGGCAGTGACTCCTCAGGAACCTCCCCAGCTCCTGGTTCATCCTCTCCACCTGCCCGTTGGACTGAGGCCTATACCCGGAAGTGAGGCTGACCGTGACCCCGAGCTTCTCCATAAAGGCTCTCCATACCCGTGATGTGAATTGGGGGCCACGGTCAGAGCCCCAGAAGGACCATAATGCCGGAAGACCTGCTGGACCAGTGCCTCAACGACCTGGAGAGCAGTAGGGAGACCAGATTAAACGACAGGATTTTGAAAATCTATCCACAACCACCAAAATGGTGGTGAAACCGTCAGAGGAGTGACGTCCTGTGCCAAGGTGGGCCACCAGTACTTCTCAAAGATGGATTGGGTAGTGTGAGTAATACCTGGATGTGTGTGTCCAGGTCAGCAGCCGATCCCTTATCCCCGTGGGAACGTAGATGCGCTCGGGAGGACAGTTAGTGGGTGCGGGCTCCCTCTCCAGAGCCTGGCGAATGTCCACATCTACGTCCCAGACCACAGGAGCTACAACTCGGGAGGATGGGATTATAGGTGCATTCTGAACAGGACCCTCTCCCGAATCGTAGAGGCGGGACAGAGCATCGGCCTTGGTGTTCTTTTAACCTGGGGCGATAGGTCAGCGTGAAGTCGAACCTTGTGAAGAAAAGGGCCGACCTTGCTTGGTGCGGATTCAGCCTCCTCACTGTCCGTATGTACT